GGGGCCGACGAGGAAAGGGCGGCGGGATCGCGACGGTAAGGGCGACACGCAGGGTCGCTAAAAAAAAGAAAGCGCGCCTCGGGGCGCGCTTCGGTGGGCCCTAGGAACAGTCCCTAGGAGGGGACCTGCTCTGATTCCATGAGAAGAATTGAACGAGGATGGAATGACTATGAACGAAGTGAGTACAAATAGGAAACCCTAATTGGGTTGTACCCCCTATGGGATACCCCACTATAGCCTACACAAATAAGTAAGCTATAATGTTCTGACACTTGACTGGATTGAGCATCAAGGGTTTTCCGACCGCTGCTGGCATTGTCACTGCCAGGTCCAACGCCCCGGTGGTTAATTTCCCAGCAAAGACGTGGTCTAATGTGACAAACAGTCCCCGACGTTCGACCATGGTTGGAAAAGGCACGGCAATACGAGGAGGTGTCAAAATGTTATCTTTGTTCTCTAGCCTGCAGTGGGGTACTCTATAGCGAGTACAACCCCTTAGGGTTTCCTATATGTATCCTCTTGCGTGCTAGTGCAACCCCTTCTCTTTTGCTTAAACCATTCTTGCCTAGCTAGGAAAGACCTAGCTATGGCTCCTACTTAATTACCTATTTTCACATGGTTATCAGAGCAGTAAGCTCCTGGCCTGTGGGCCCCACCACACTCCTTCCGCTGCAACTGCTACTCTCCCTTTCCGACGTGCGCCCCGAGGCGCGCGGCGGTTTTCTGCCCGCCGTGCGCCCCGAGGCGCGCGGCGGTTCTCTTCCCGCCGTGCGCCCCGAGGCGCACGGCGGGTTACTGCCCCGTCACGCCGCGCGCCGCTCCCGGGAGGCGCTGCGACGGGCGACGGGGACCTCCGCGTCGCCCCCCGTCGCCCTTCGTGGCCTCCGTGCGGCCCGTACAGGCAGCGCGCGGCCCGTACGGGCTGCGCCAGACCCGCGCGCGGCCCGTACAGGCTGCGCCACGCCCGCGCGCGGCCCGAACGGGCGGCGCCAGGCCCACGCGCGGCCCGTACGGGCGGCGCCAGGCCCGCGTGCGGCTCGGGCCGCCTGCGCGCGGCTCGGGTGATTGTACCAGGCCCGTGGTGGACCCATTCCTTGCTTTCCCTGCCCTCCCCACTGTTCCCAGTGCTTCTACTACCGCCCCACCCCTCCTACTCCTCATTCTCCTGAATTAGGGTTTGGGGGTGAGGGGTATGGGGGTGACTTCGCTCTGTACCGTTCCCTGCTCCTCCTCCTCCTCCGTCTCCTTGTGCTGCAGCTGCCGCTGAGGGGGGGTGGACGTGTTAGAGCCGGTGGAGTGGTACTAAGGGGGGGTGAAGGGGGAGTGGAGCTAGCGGTGTAGCAGTGGGTGTGTGCCAGGGGGAGTGGGATAGTTTGGGGAAGCTGAATGGAGGTTGCCGTCGTGTCGCCAGCAGCACCTGTATTCCGGGGACTTCGTCCGGTAGCCCAGTCGTAGCCAGCTGTGCCAGCCGCCCGTGGGTCCGTTGCTCGTCTGCCGCTACTTTAGCCGTGGGGCCAGTTACTCCAGTATTCCGGAGCTTTGTTCCGGTAGCCGCTGTGCCAGTGTGCCTCCTGTTGCCCGTGTGTCTGCAGCTTCATCCGTCGCCTCCTATCTCCTCTCCTCTCACTCTCTCTCCTCCTCCTCACTTGCCCGTTGTGACTACCACTAGCTTTGCTCATAATTGTGAACTTTAAACTATTGCTTCTTGAACTTGTGCTCAGAATTTGTGGTGACATTGTGATCCACCCTGAGCTTGTTCTGTTTTGCTTGCTCTGCTGATTACACCCCACTTTGGCTATGGGGGTGTGTCAGAATGTTATCTTTGTTCTCTAGCCTGCAGTGGGGTACTCTATAGCGAGTACAACCCCTTAGGGTTTCCTATATGTATCCTCTTGCTTGCTAGTGCAACCCCTTCTGTTTTGCTTAAACCATTCTTGCCTAGCTAGGAAAGACCTAGCTATGGCTCCTACTTCTAACTATCTATTTTCACAGGAGGATGGGACTCCTCTATAAGTACACTTCAGGAGGATGGGTTTGCTCTATAAATACACTTCGTCTGGATGGTGCTATGATGCAGGGAGTGTTGCTGCCGAGGCAGGAATGACTGTCGCTGATGTGTTCAGGGGGCTGATGACTTTCCCATGACGCCTTGCTCGCCTGGCCAGATTCATTGTACCGAATCTGGCCCATGCCAACGCACACGCAGCTTAGTGTGCGACTGCCCAATCAGGGCCGACTGCCGTGCTAGCCACGACGCAGTACAACCACAAATGGGGCATATGCGGCAAGATTCCTTGCCAACAACGCTTGGACCTCACCACATCAGCTCCTCTGCAGGGAGATCTTGACTGTTTCTCCCCTTAGCCTGCAGAGGAACCCGGGCCACGAAGTTGGAGGGGTCTCGGGCAAGGGTTTCAAACAGGCGTCATTCTCCCTGTTTTTTTCAGATTTCTTGTTTCCCATCGGCCTGCCTTAGCCATGGTGAGCCTACCAGGCACCCATTTCCTCTTTAGGCGCTGAGGTGCTGCTGGCAAAGCTCCCGATTACTCCCAGTGGCAGAGTCGCCCAGCGCCAATACCTCCTGCTCCTCCTGCGCCTCCTGCTCCTCCTGCGCCTCCTGCACCTCCAGCGCCTCCTGCTCCTCCCGCTCCGCCTAACGTCGTCATCAACGTTGTGCCCGTTATGCAGCTTCTCCCTCGCGACTACTTTGCTTTCGATGCATACATCTCCGAGCTCGAGCACGAGCCCGAGTGCAGCGACGAAGATGAAACCGGTCCCGGTCTTTCGCCACGTTGGGGAGACCCGGAAGACTGCCCGCACGACGAATCCGCCACCGGTGCCGAAGACGATGTTGAGTGGTGGGCGGCCGACGGTCTTCTCGAGGACTTGCCTGTCCCAAGTTTTCCCCCGCCCAATAAAAAAAGGCCCCACTCCTGCACCCAGAATCGTGATTCCCGCCCCCCGTCTCCCAGGAGCAGGCGCTCAAGGCACAAGCGGCACCCCTATACTTCTAAGGAGAAGCTGCACTGGATTTCACTGCTGGAGTCCGGTGCTGTGAGTGTGCGGAAGATGGCGCGCGACACTCGTATCTCCCGAAAGTGCTTGTCAGAATGGAAATCGCGGAAGGGTGAGCTGGAGGGCGCGCATGGGGCTCGCAAGCGTCTTCACAGGCGTGGTCGGTCGTCGTGGTACCGCGACATGGAGATCCAGGTCTACTCACGAGTACTTGCCGCCCAAAAAAAGTGCCTCGCAGTGTCGGTCGGCCGCCTGCAGCAGTGGTCGCGAGAGGTGATGAAGAACCTGCATCCTCAGGTAAAGTGGGCAGGATCTCAGAGGTGGACTGAGCGTTTTTGGCGCCGCTGGAATCTCACTACCCGAGCGAAGACCCGTGTCTGCCAGAAACTATCCTCCGGTGAGTGGGTGTTGTTGTCTTTGCTCTTGTTTATCCCTTTTGCCAACCGGTCGATGTGCTAATGTTTTGTTTTTTTATGGTTTCTGCCTCCCCATCCCTTCCAGAGTGCGAGACGCAGGTGCGGAACTTCTGGAAGTTCGTGCGGCACACCCGCCGACAGTACGGAATCGACAACCGCTGGATCATTAATGCGGATCAGACCCCGCTCTGGCTCGAAATGCCAGCTGAACGCACTGTCGAGGAGGTGGGGGTCCACTCCGTGCCCATCCGCAGCGGTGGCTATCAAAAGGAACGCGTGACGGTGATGCTCGCCTGCACCGCCAGCGGCGAGAAGCTCAAGCCCTGGGTGTTCTTTAAGCGCAAGACAATTCCAAAGGGGAATTTCCCCTCCGGTAAGCTGAGCAGCTTGTGCAGTCCCGGTAGGATTTGCATGTGTTGTTTTTTTTTTACTGATGTCAATCTCAACGTTGTGCGGATGTGCAGATGTCATGGTCGCCGCACATCCCAACGGTTGGATGGACGCAGACGGCGTCCTCGCGTGGCTCGACGGTACGGTGGGTCCGTACGTCAATCCGAGGTTCGGAGTGCGCAGCAGGAGGGCGATGCTGGTGCTTGACTCCTACCGTGGGCACCTGTCTGATCAAGTGAGGGCGAAATTCGGCGAGTTGCGTATCGTGCCAGCCGTCATACCAGCTGGCTGCACATCGGAGGTGCAGCCGTTGGACGTCGCGGTGAACCGCTCCTTCAAAGCAGCTGTGTGACAACAGTACCAGGAATGGTTCGAGAGCGAGGGTGTTGACTGCCTGACTGAAAGAGGTGAGATATAATATTTAGGACTGATTGCTTTTCAATTATTGACCCTGTTCTAACTGATGAATCTTTCTACGTGTGGCAGGCAACATCCGCAAGCCATCACCAGAGCTGACGCTCAAGTGGATCTCCAAGGCCTGGAAGGCGGTGCCCAAGGAGTTGATTGAGCGCTCGTTTCTGACCTGCGGCATCAGTAACGCCTTGGACGGGTCTCAGGACGGTCTCTGCCTGCAGCACCGGCGGGACGCCGTCAAAGGCGAAGTGGATCTTGACGACGAGATTGCAGCAGATGGATTCTGCTGCAACAACGTAGACGAGCCAGTGTCGGACGGTGAGACCGCCGAGGAAGGCACCGCCACTGCTGAGGAGGATGCCTAGGTTGTGTAAATAGAGTAGAAATGTGTAGGACGTAAAAATCTAGTAGAAAATGTAGAAAATGCGAAGATGTAGTCGGATATTTAGAGAAAGTGTAGAATAGCAGTAGGATACTAATTGTAACAGCTAAAAAAATAAAAATCTAATTTTTAAATGGTGGCGCTTATAATGTGTAAGGTAGTAAGGGTGCGCTTATAATCCGTAAGGCTCCAAGCATGCGCTTATAATCGAGGAGCAGATATAAGCGCCCTCATCCCTTAATAAGCACCGGCGCTTATCCGAGGCCTGTGCTTCTATCCGGGGGCTTACGGTATCCTTGCTTCAGCATACTTTGTTAGTATAGTAAACGCGGCCACACCCGAGCAGATGTATTGTACTACAATATGGTATGGTAATGGTAATTTCAGGCCACAACAGCAGAGCATGCAGCAATGAGCTTATCCAAAGAAACTCCACCTAGATCATCAAACGCCGTTACAGCCCCAGTGAAATCCTACATACGGGGTGAGGGGGAAGGGGGGAGGAGGGGGAGAGAGAACAGGTGATGGACGGCGTAGTTGATGACACACAACATGCGGGCACCCCAGATATGAAGGAGCCAGGAGATCAAAGCACTGAGCTTACCTGGCTCTTGGTGGAAGGCATGTAGGTGATTACACACCGCATGCCGGCTCCGAGAGCTGCCTGCAGGCCAATCACACTGTCCTCCACCACCAGGCACGAGGAGGGCGGCACTCCTAGGCGCTGAAGGGGTAGAGACACAGAAACGAGTGAGGATAAATGGGAGCATGTGAGGATTTAGTGAGCACTGCGGGGGATGTGAGGACAGAGAGGCACGCTGCTGCCCAATCACACTGCGCTCTAATAACATCGCCCGCCCTCTAACACCCGCCCTCGAACACCCACCTTCGAACAACTGCCCTCGAACACCCACCTTACAACAACCGCCCCTAAACTCCGCCATTCATGAAAGTAAACGGCATGCAAGGAATAGTTAGAATTCGGAAGTGACGACGTGTTGGGCGAGTACACTGAGTGTTGCTGTGCGAAGTGTTGGACGAGTACACTGAGTGTTGCTATGCGACGTGTTGGGCGAGTACACTGAGTGTTGCTGTGCGACGAGTTGGGCGAGTACACTGAGTGTTGCTGTGCAAGGTAGGCTCACCTGTGCTGACTTTTGAGTCGACTCAACGCAAGCAGGATTCACCTGCGCTGCGATCTCACCTGCGCTGCGATCTCACATGCGCTACGATCTCACCTGCGCTGCGATCTCACCTGCGCTGCGATCTCACCTGCACTGTGATCTCACCTGCGCTGCGATCTCACCGGCGCTGCGATCTCACCTGCGCTGCAATCTCACCTGCGCTGCGATCTCACCTGCGTTGCGATCTCAACTGCGCTGCGATCTCACATGTGCTGCAATCTTGTAGATGGTCGGATCTGGCTTCTTCTTTGGGACGTCATCACCTGGTGGAACGCGAGGAGAGGAGAGCAACAGAGGAGGGAAAAATTTGGAATGAATGCAGAGTGGAGGAACTAACAAGGAAGAAGGTAGGAAAAAATGACGACAAGAGACGGTAGACAAGTAACTGTTTCTGCAACCCCAGCACTTCTGATTGCTCGAAAAGACGCAATGTGAAATAAAACGCGCGAGTGAGGAAGCAGAAGAGAGGCAGGTAAGAGACACCCACCTGCCAAGAAGCAATCCAGTTGGTCAAACCTATCCTGGAAAGGAAGACGAGGGGGGGAAGGAGGAAGAAAAGGAGCAGTGGGGGAGAACAGAACGTAGGGAGGGAGTCGGACAGAGCGGGGCGCTAGTTGACCAAGGAGCAAGTATGTGAGGTTGGGTTCAAAGCTAAGGAGCACGAGCGAAAGGAAAGGATGGTAAACAAAAGAACGTGGCACTTATGGCGATTTCTCAGGCACATAACAAACTGAGTTGGATGGGGGAGTTCAGATGGGGATGGGATAGGCCAAGGGCGAAGGGTTGTAAAGAGCACCTTACCCAGAAGCTTATTGAGGGTAAGATCTATTTCTGAGGCGCCACCATACAAAAAAAGCGAGGGGGAATGAACAGTACCTTCCCGAGAAGGCTGGTGAGAGTGAAGACGACTGAGCTCTTGGTGGCCGCAGAACACACCGCCACCAGCAGACCCTGAGACGAGGGGGGAGAGGGGGCGAGGGGGGGGGGAAGTGGGGTTGGAGGGGGTAAGAAGGGGGGAGAGAATATTGAGTCAACTCAAACGTCGACTGAGCTCTTGGTGGCTGCAAAAAAAACCACCACCAGCAGACCCTGAGACGAAGGAGAGAGGGGGTAGGACGGGGGGGAGAAGGGGGGAAGAAAGGCGGGGGACAGGTGGGGAAGTGGGGGAATGGGGAGAGAATATTGAGTCGACTTGAAAGACAACTGAGCTCTTAGTGGCTGCAGAACACACCGCCACCAGCAGACCTTGAAAGTGCCGGGGGGAGGGGGAAAGATGGGGAGAAGAGGAAGAGACAGGGAAGGGCAGTGAGCCTCTTGTCCTCTTTATACCACCTTTCCCCCATACCTCCAGTCAAGAGACAACATTTCAAGAACGTTAAATCCCGTCTCAAAAAACGCATCCCCTCCTATCCGGCATGCGGGCTCCCTTCCTCTTTTCAATCCCCCGCTCTCCCTCTTCTTCCACCCAGGTGACTTTTGAGTCGACTCAAAAGTCACCACAGCTCCCTTGCTCTTTCCATCCCCCCGCTCTCCCTCCTCTTCTTCCACCCCCATCCCTCCACGTACCCTCTGTCTCGCTTCATCCATCAGCCCTAACACGCCTGGCCGCACTGGCACCTGCAGGAGGGGAGAGTACGGGGAGAAGGGAGGAGGAACGGGAGGGAAAAAGGGAGGATAGGGGGGAGGAGGCAAGAGCGAGACAATCAGGAGCTGGTGAAGGGTGCAGCCGTGTTTAGAGCCATATACAGTAACGACAACATCTGTTGAAACTAACTGAAGGACCCGTAAATTGGTGTAATAGACGGTCGTCATCACACACACACCAGCCCCCACCCAATCATTTGCTCACCTGCCCCGAGCCAATCATCTGCTGATACTTGTCTGTCTTCCAATCCTAGTGGCAGCACGCGTGGTAAGAGCGTATGTGGTGTGTCGAGCATGGAAGGACGCAGAGAGAGAGACGCAGAGAACAGGGAGCACACAGTGAGATGCGGCTTCTGAGTCGGCTTGTAGTTCACTCTGGTCTGGTAGGTGGCGTCATCCATGTGGACTGGATGAGCTGCAGTCGGGAAGTCAAAGCGGATGCGCCTCAGGGGTCAAGGTCTTCTGAGCCTTCTCAAAACGTCTCCCTTACGTTCTCCATCTCCCCCCGCTTTTCCCCCTCTCCCCCGTTTTCCCCCGAATCCGCTGTGAATGGCGGCAGGTACGCCATGGGGCTGAGCATTCGCGCGATGCACTGCCTGATGGCCATTCCAAGAGTCATGCACAAGGTGGGTTACAGAGTCTGGTTTGTGTTGGGTGGGGTGTGTGTTGGGTGGGGTGTGTGGTAGGTGGGGTGTGTGTTTGCGCACACATGCTTCACAATCCCCTCTCCCTCCCAATCTCTTCATTGTCCTCCCTATTCCTCCTTTCATGGCATATCCCACCCGCACGTCAGCAGGCACAGCAAGCTATGAGACCCCTCCCAACCCACTCTTTCATCCAATCACCTCCTGCCACGTGTGCAGGTGCAGCCAGTGCTGGTGAACCCACACGAGATGGTCATGCCAGCCTTCGGCCGCCTCATTAGGTTCTCAGTGCCCAAGGTAGGCTTTAATGGCCAAGGTGGGTTTATTAGGCTGCTAAAGGTCGGTATTTTTCTTAGGCTTCTCAAAAATCTTATGTATTAACCATTGTTTCGATCTTTCCTTCCCTTTCAGTCAGTTCATTGTCTGACTCTGGCTAGAGTTCCGCGATCCCTTTCCCTCCTACCCCATTCCCACACAACGAATGGCCACTCCTTGTTTTCAGGACCCCCCTCAAGGCCTCGTCTCTCGCACGGACCTTTGTGCCACTCTGCTTGATGCGCTTATCGAGAGAGCTACTAAGGGGTACAAACCTGCGACCGCAAGTGAAGAAATTTCTGATGAGGATAGGGGGAAGACTAGTGCTGAGGAATAGAAGCACCTGAAGAAACACCTGAGCAAGCACCTAGCAGTGTATTTTGAGTCAAGGATTGTGGATGTGGATATGAAGGGCCACGTGGTTACTACTTCTGTGCCTTGCAGCAGTGGCAGTGGCAGTGGAGACAACAGCAATGGGGGTGGTGGCAGTGGCTTGGAGAACGTTGAGATCAAATTTGACCTTTTGGTGAGTGAGTGAGTGTGTCAGGGATGCCGTGAGTGAGGGAGTGAAGAAAATTTTGGGAGTTGGGATGATGGAGAGAGTGGGAGAGGGAATGAGAGGATAGTGGAGCGAATAAAAGGTGATTTCTTGACGTGCCCGTGTGCCTCTCCCCGCCTATCCTGTTTTCTCCTTCCTCCCCATCAGGTGGGGGCGGACGGGATGCGATCATATGTGCGCAACCTGTTGGCTGCACGCACGTGAGATTTCCCCATACACACGGACCGTGTGTATCACAACTGGACTGTTGTCAGCATACCCGTGCCGCCCGCCCTCACACCCGCCTCTCTCTTCTTCACTGCGAAGGTCTGTTTATGCTCTCTTTGCGACTATACTTCTTGGCCTATTTTCTACTCCGTCCTCACTCTGAGTATCCCTCGCTCATTATTCCACTATCCCTCTCACTCCCCTCCCCACCGCCCCTCTTCAACAGGTCAACAACACAAAAAACATCGTTGCGGTGGCGATGCCGCAGGTGGGCGGCAAGATGTGTCTGGTGTGGGGATAGAAGTCCACCGACCCGCCTCTAGACTGGCTCTCCCTCGCCTCCACGGCTGCTGCCAAACAATACCTCGATGAGAGATTTCCCTGGCTGGGTGTCCCTGAAGAAGCTGCCTGGAAGCTGCTGAAGCAGAAGCCAAGGACGAGCATGCAGGTGGGTTATTCTTTCTTTCTCGCCCCCTGCCTGTTTCTCTTGTTCCCCGTGGTAGTGGTGGCGGTACCACGACGCAGGCACCCAAGTGGCCTGGTTAGGCGATGCAGCGCACTTCATCACACACTCTCTTCCTGCGTGACCTCCCCCTCTACACGCCACTTCCCCACCACCAGGTGAAGTGCTGGCGCTACCATGACAGTGACGCCCAGGTGGCCCTGATAGGCGATGCAGCGCACTCCATGCTGCCCTCTCTAGGCCAGGGCTGCAATGCCTCCATCACGGACGCGCTCGTGCTGGGCAGGTTGCTGCTGGGGGAGGTGGTATCTGAGAACGACAGGGTCCCCCGCCCCCTGGGCAAGGATGGCGCTGCTGCTGGTGGTGGGGATGGAGGGGCAAGCATAGATGTACCAGAGGTTGAGGAGTTGAGGGCAGGCCTTGCAGCCACTCTCTCCCGTTATTCCGCTCTCCAGGTCCGTGCCCTCAGTTGTCACATGGGTTTTCATTCACTCTATGCACTCCCCTCCCTGCTGGTCATTGTTTTCAATCAACATGGATTCGAGTCAAGAGCCTGAAACGAGGCGATACCAACGCCTATATGTCATGTTGTGGGTGTTATAGGTTGTAGAAGGACACGCATTGGTGGAGCTATCAGATGCTGCGGCACCTGTCAGTACCTTCTACACTGTACGTTTACATTTTCTGTTCCGTCAATACCTGGTTCTATTTCATTTATGTTATAGCTTCTGGTTCGTTCATGTCGTAATACGTGCAACTTCTATGTTTGTGCAGTTCTTATACATGATGGATCTCATTCTCCGCGCCATATTTTGCAAGCTGCTCCCATGGTTTGTATCGGAGCCCATACAAGGGCTCTGCGGCAACACCACGATGCCTTATTCCTCAATCCTCAGAAGATTCTGTGGCTTTGTGTCACGTGTTGTGAGGGCTAATGCAGCACAGAGGTGGGTGTGGGTAACACAGCAATACAAGAAGGCTGTCACAGGGAAATGATGTATTTTGTTGAGGTAACTACTGTATTTTCTGTTACATCAATTTTAGTGAATGATTTTTGTATCACTTGGCTGTCCTCGCAAAGTTCTTGCAACATTATCATCTCAAGTTTTTATATTATACAGCTTCAAGTTCAGAATAAGCATACGGTATTACCGTATCAATTTGTCAGTGATAGCAACTCAACTACCACATCAAGATGTTGGAGACGTCTCTTTGTCTAACCAAATGGCAATGAGATTACCGTATCTACGGGACGATTTGTAGTGCTGTGTTTGTAGTCATTTGGATAAACATTTTTTCCATAGAGTTGCTCAGTCACTCCTGAAATGTTGCAGTTGAGATGAATTACCGGTACGCAAGCTTGTTAAGATATGGGACACAGTGCAACTTGTGGCCTCAAAAGCAAACCTAAACCACCATCGCAGAAGCAACAGCAGCAGCAGCAGGAGATGTAACGCAACTACTGCTGTTGGTGGTGTTGCTTGTGGTGGCGACATCTCCTCGAATGCCATGCAGACCAGCTCTAGCCATGAATGACCGCACTGCCATACTGCCATACTTATTCATTTGTAGGTGTATCAGTAGGATTGGTAATGGAACGAACCCACTTGGGCGGTCTCATACTAATGTCACTTTGAGAAGAAACGAGGAATGGATCAACTATGAAAGAGTTGGGTACAAGTGCTAACCCTAATTGGGCTGTACCCCTTATGGGCTACCCCACTACAGCCTACATAGATGTATAAGCTATAATGTTCTGACACACCCCCATAGGCAAAGTGGGGGAGAACAAGGGGTCACAAGACCAGTCAAGCAAAACAAAGCAAAGCAAGCTCAAGGTGGATCATAAAGTCACCACACATTCCGAGCACAAGTTCAAGGTCACAAGGCCAGTTCACATGCACGAGTACATATATATATGAGACTAGACAAGCAAGAGCAGGTGTATATATATATGTAACAGTACAAGCAAGGTCAAGAGGTGAGCAAGTGAGGCAAGGCAGTCACAAGACCCAGCTGAGTACAGAAGCGCTGATGATCACAAGGCGCAAGTGCCTGGGTGAAGATATCAGCAGTGTTGGCCTCAGAGGCCACGTACGCAAGCCGCAACTAACCACGCAGCTGTAGCTTACGAGCAAGGAAGTAGCGGAGAGCAATGTGCTTTATTCTGTGCTCCAGTCTCTGCTCTCGACACAAGGCCAGCATGGCCTTTTATTCTACGTAGAGTACTGGAGAAGAACGAGGCGGCTCTCAGAGGTCAGTCAGCAGGTAGGTGAGCCAGCGAAACTCCTGTGCAGCCATGGCTCCTGTGTAGATCTCAGCCTCACAACTGGAGCCGAGAACAGAAGACGAGCAGGTAGCCCGCCACGAAACAGAGCCGGAACCAAGGCTGAAGGTGTAACCCTATGACGACCGCTGCGTAGCCTGATCGTCAGCCCAAGAAGCGTCTGCGTGCCCAGTGAGGACCACTAGACTCCGCCCTCCAAGCACAAGCCCCATGCCCGACGTACTGCACAAGTAGTGCAACACCCTCTTCGCTGCAGCCATGTGTTCCGGTCTGTGTCTCCCAGGAGCAACATAGCGTGCAAGAATGCTAAGAGGGTATGCAAGGTCAGGTCGTGCGCAGGTCATCAGGTACATGAGGCAGCCAACAAGCTCTGGGTACGGGCCACTCGACTCTACGGACTCATCCGAAGGCAGAGCTGAGAGCGAGTGGCGAGTAGGCAGAGGAGTGGCCTGAGGCGAGGAGTACGTGAAGTTGAAGCGCTGAAGGACCTGCTGCACCATGTGTGACTGAGTCAGGGTAATGGTGCGGCGTGCCCTCTCCCGGGTGATCTGCAAGCCAAGATAGCTGCGCAGTTCACCCAGGTCGGTGCACGTGTGTCTCTTAGGCAGCTCAGACTTCACGTGGGCGAGTCCAGCAGTGTCAGCTGTGGCAAAGACCAAGTCGTCGACGTACACGAGGATGTAGAACAGCGGCAAAGAAGTGTCGGTGCGCAGAAACAGCGACGGGTCAGCAGTAGAGGGAGCAAACCCAAGAGCCGCAAGCGTAGTCCTCAGCGTGTCGTTCCACTCACACAGTGCCTGGCGGAGACCGTAGACTTGCGGCCGGAGGCTCCACTGGATCCCAGGAGGAAAAGACCCAGTGAAGCCAGGTGGGCGGCGCAGCCAGATCTCCTCGTGCAGGCTGCCCTGCAAGAAAGCAGTGCTGAAGTCAAGAGAGTGCATCTCGTAGTCACAGTGAGCAGCTATGTGCAGCAGTACCCAAAGAGTGGTCATCTTCGGGGTGGGAGAGAAGGTCTGAAAGTAGTCAACTCCCTGCCGCTGTCTGAAGCCACGAGCCACGTAACGAGCCTTGAAGACAGGCGGAGGACCCGGCGGCCGCTTCACCCTGAAAATCCACATGCCACTGACAATGTTCGCCCCAGGCGGGGGAACCTCGTCAACGTAGGTGCCTGTGGACTTCCAGGAAGCCATCTCTGTGTCCATAGCTGCCTGCCACTGAGAGGAGTAGGGACCCTCTATCGCCTCCGCGTAAGAGCGCGGAGTCGGGATGTCAAGTGCATCCGGGTCTCCCTCAGGGGTAAGCAGTACGGACACGAGATGAGGTGAAGCAGCACCCAGACACTGGAACTCCTCCTGCCTGTCCTCAAGGACGTCCGTGCCAAGGGCACACTCACCCCCGACGGACGGAGGACAGACAGACTCAGACTCAGCGACAAGACTAGCAGCGTAGTCGAGACGACAGCGAGCAGCAAAGTCGACGAGCTTAGCAACTAGGGCAGACGCAGCAGTGGACTCAAAGGAAGGGTCAGCGACGTCAGTAGCAAGGAGATGCATGACAGCAGGACTGGCAGCACAAAGAGAGTCCGACTCCGGGTCGGCAAGAGCAGGAAGAGAGGACTCGGGAGGAGAAGGGAAAGGGGCATGCAGAGGAGTAGTGGACGGACGCAGAGAAATCCGGTGCGTGCCAGGGACAGGAGGAGGACGCTGACGCGAACCACGACCACTAGTGCGAGCAGCACGGACAGGCGACGCAGGGCGAGACGCAGGCTCACGACGCTCAGCAAGACCTCCAGTAGGACCAGGGACAGGCTGTGGACACTCTAAGGGAGGAGGAGGACCAGTAGAAGGCGGAAGACCAAGAACCTGCTGAAGGAGCGGAACGAAGTACGGTCGAGGCCGCGCGGCGACGCCAGAAACAGCAGGGACAGCACCAGTACCCCCAGTGGTAGCACCAGTGCCAGCAGCACCTCCAGCTCCAGTACCCCCAGCAGCTCCAGTAGCTCCAGGACCTCCAGCAGCACCAGTAGCACCCCCAGCACGACCGCCTCCAGGACCGAGAGCAATAGCCTCAGCGCCAACACCCTCAGTAGCTCCAGCTCCAGTCGTACCCGCTGGCCCAGCAGCTCCAGTACTCCCAGTACAAGCACCTCTGGGACCCGCGACAGCAGCACCCTCAGTAGCCGAAGAACCTCCAGCTCCAGCAGCACGCCTCCAGCCCTGGCCAAACCACTCGCGCAGCTCCTGTGGAGAGAGTGGCTCCCGCCGAGACGAAGCACCCGGAGAACCTCGTGGCACAGTACCGCCAGACGCGACACGAGCAGGCCCAGCTCCCTCAGGCTCCGCACCCCAAGGCGTAGCACCCCCAGGCTCAGCACCCCCAGTCGTAGCACCCCCTGGCTCAGCACCCTCAGGTGTAGCACCCCCAGGCTCAGCACCCCTAGTCGTGGAACCCCCAGGCTCAGCACCCCTAGGCTCAGCACCTCCAGTGGTAGCACCCTCAGGCTCAGCACCCCCAGGCGCAGTACCCACACGCTCAGCACCGCCAAAGTCAGCACCCCCAAGCTCAGCACCCTCAGCAGCACCAGAGTCACCAGCAACCTCAATAGGCTCGACTGCGTCTACCTGGGACACACCTGAAGGGGCAGGACCCTGAGGGGGGAGGGGGTCTACCAGGGGGGGACCTGACACAAGGAAGAGCGGTGGCGGGGGAAGGGACGGAGTGCTGTAGGGGAAGAGGCGGTAGTAGGGGACCGACTCATCAAACGTGACGTCCTGGGAGGACAGAACACGGTGAGAGGTGGGGTGGTAGAACTGCCACCCTGGCGTGTCAGGCGGGAAACCCAGGAAGACACAAGGAGCAGCACGAGGGGACAGCTTGTCCGCAGACAAGTCGCGGACAAACGCCCGAGATCCCCAGACCCGGAACGCAGACGCATCGCCAACCTTCCCCGTCCACAGCAAGGCTGGGGAGGTCTCCGGCATGGAGACCCTGGGCTGAAGGTTGATCTGATGCGCCGCGTACCGAACCGCAAACGGCCACAGAAAATGGGGGGCAGCCGCATGCATCATGGACGTACGAGCGACGTCCATGACCATGCCAATGCAGCGCTCAGCAATCCCATTTTGCTGTGGAGAGTCCGGAAGCGTGAAGGTCTGGCGAATGCCTCGTGCACGATAGTAGGCTCACAGAAGGCCAGAGGAGAAGTCTCCGCCTCTGTCAGAGTGCAGACGCAACACAGGAAAGTCCGAGCCGAAGCTCTGCCTGAGCTGGAGACGAGCTGCACGGATCCAGTCGATCAACACCTTAGTGACATCACCCTTGGTGCGCAAGGGGAAGACTGTGGTGTAACGCGAGTAGTCGTCAACCACCAGCAGGAAGTAGCGTTCGTGACCCTGTCCACAGACGCGGGCTGGGCCCCACACGTCCATGTGAAGCGTCTGCAGCGGGGCCTCTGTCGGAGGAAACTGGGAGGAGTGAGGGGCAGCACGTTGCCGCCCCTCGACGCAGGGGACACAGGCAGGGGCAGGCCCCAAGGGAAGGGGAGGGAGGGACCGGGGAAGACCAGAGACAAGGACACGGGACGCCATGCCTCGGAGACGAGGCAGGAAGGGGTGACAAAGGCGGTGGTGCCAAAGGAGAGTCTCGTGAGACAGGAGACGACACGAGCAGGGGGC